AATTGCTGAACGTGCATTTACGAACAGCTTCTCATTTGTGAACCTTTCCGCGTTTGTGAGTGAAATCTGTGTGGTGCATTCACGAACAGCTTCTCATTTGTGAACCTTCCTGCATTCGTGAGAGAAATCGGTGTGCTGAATTTTGAGACTCTCCTAACGTCGCAGGTCAACAAACGTCACCATTGGCTAATGAACCTGTCAATCAAATATATGCTTCTGCCAGGGCTGTTCGCTTTCAGCCAATCATATGGGTCCTTATGTCACAGAACAGATCTGCTGTGCGCATGCGCATTGCAGTTCACACGGCAGAGCAGGATGGACCGGTCACGATCTGTGAGTAATAGTTTTATCTTATTCCCTCGTTGTAATTGATGCAATGTTATAGAATTATGAGTAGAAGCGTTCTTCATGATCAAGTAAAATGTTTTATGTTAAATTCAGTCCAGACGTTACGTGAAGTCTGGTCCATTCTTCATCTAGTTTAACATCAAGCTAAACTCAAGTGAACATTTGTTTAGTTAGCGTATCTAGGTACCATTTTTTTAGGCGACGGTTGTCAAACTCAAGGCCTTGGTCTATTTTTATTTGCCCCGCGAAATCAAATATCAAATATATAATATTAAACTGGCCCGCCGGGCGATTTCGCTAATAAGACTACTAATCCCATAGTGCTTTGCGGCGTTAGCGCGCGAGACGAAGCAAGCCCTCTTTTATGTTTACATCATTAGCATCCATGCTAGTCGAATCAGCGTGTGCAGCGTTACCCTCAGTCTTAAACAACTGAAGATACTCCTCTAAGCACCCAGTTTACTCTGCGAGTTTCCGACTTTGAACGCCTAGAAAGAAGGTATCTGGCTGGAACAGGTGACCATCAGAGTGGAGCGAACTGAGCTTGTAATATTTAATTGCCATGCACTTTTTCTGCTCCAAAGCATGAACGTTAATAACTGAGATATTTTCATAGAAGATAATTGCTATTTTTGGTTTTCACAGGTCTTAACTTATTTAATTATCTAACATGTTATTGTATGGCTGTTGTACCTTTCATTTGGTAATTGATTGTTTTGACCCCTATAAAAATGTGTCATATGAGAGTGTTTGTGCTTGAATTACATAGATCATGTACCTGAAGGTAGCTGACAACAACCGGGCAGACACCCACCTTGCCTTCTTCAGTGAAGCTGTGAATGAGCATGGCTTTCCTCTGAGGTATTCATGTTATTCTCAACTTTACCCTCTGTTACCCTGTTACAAATCTGCTTTTGCCTAAAGTGTGTTATTGACCAAAGATAACATGCCATTTGAGGTCATATAGTAAAATCTATGGGGGGGGGGGGGGGGGTGAACATTTCCCTCTTTCAAAAAAAATTTCCCCAGCGGAGGGTTAATAATGCCACATTGTTTATTGTTTACTCACTTAGTAGCAAGGTACATAAGGAAATTTCTGTGAGACTCAAATTGATGTAGATTGTTATAGATGTGCATTAAAAATGTTTGAAGCAAGATTCTAATGTTTTTTTTTTTCATGGTGAGAGGAGATCATGGCGGAGAAAATGTAGGTGTTGCAGAATTAATGTTCTCAGTTCGTGGAACTGACACCAACAGCTTCATTGCAGGAAAAAGTGTACACAATCAACGGTGAGTTTAACCTAATTTGGAAGCTTTGTGTCTGTGCGCGCGTGCCTGTGCCTGTTGACGTGCCCAGGGTGTACCCTTCGTCTCACACTTTGACTGCTAGAGATAGGCACCAGTCCTCCTGCGACCATTCAAAAGATAACTCAAGTTGAAAACGGATGTATGGACATGTAAATTTGTGTGTATATTATAATTTTCTTTTATTTAATCCCCCTCCAAATCCAGGATCGAGCGCCTGTGGCATGATGTCTTCATGAGTGTTACTGGTCTATATTACAACATCCTGCACTCTCTGGAAGACCAAGACTTGCTCGACATCAGTAACATCCTTCACATGTTTTGTTGCCACTATATTTTCTTGTCTCGCATCCAGGCCAGCCTGGATGTCTTTAGAGATGCGTGGGACAACCATCCAATCAGGACAGAGGAAAACATGACACCAAATCAGCTGTGGCATCTGGGCCAGGCTCTGAATCCTGTTTCTGATCCAGGGGCAAATGTATGTTCTGTTAAAATGATTGATCACATGTCAAGTTGATCCTTAACTATAAATCAAATGTTCAACACTTTGATAATCTACCTCTGCTCTATGCTTCTTGGATTCAAGACAAAATGGCTGTTGAAATTACGGTTCTGTTTGTGTGCACCTCTACTGAAGTGGACACTGTCAACTATAATGTCATGACATTACAAAGTCATGACGCATCTGCAAGTTCAAAATGCAAGGCATTAGACCTTCCAGATGTGATATTCTCACTGCTGTTTTAACATAAAATTTGCCCATTAATTTAAAAAAAAATAATAATTTATGAAATAATGGAGATGCTAGGTTCTGCCTGACATCATTGATGTTAAGTAATTGTTAAAAGGTCATGATAGGGCTTTATTAAATGTGTTTTCTTGAGATTCATTATGCACAATGCTCATACACACTTTCTTTTTCCAGGGTATACCGACACCAGAGATTGAATGGGAGGAGAACGGATACATGACTTAACCTCATCCTGGGATCAGTGTCCCTGTACTGGACAGTCCTCTTTCAGATCATGAAATGTTGGAACTGCAGGACAGCATTAATCCGTTGCAACATTCAGACTCTTTTGGGAGTGGACACATCTTCACACTGTCCAGTATGTTGAGAACTTACTTGAGGCTAGATGATTACATGTGTGAAGAAGGAAGGAGAGAGAAGGTAGGGAGTTAGGAAGAAAGAAAAATAATTAATGAGACAGGAAGGAAGAAAGTTAAAAGTGAAGGAGTGGTCCATTTTAAGGTTAATATTCTGTATATTGTTATTCAAGGGATTTGCCGTCGTAAATATGAAATGCTAAAGGATAGACCCCAAAATAGATGTCTAAATTCATTTATAGTTGTGTATTTCCTTAAAGTCTTTGTCAGCCTGATTTATTTTAGACCAGGAATGTATTTGAAAAGGCTGCTGTTCACTTCATCTATGCTACAATTCTTCAAAATGTAAATGTGCTATCATTGCTAGTGTTGGTTTAGTAACATGCATCTTACTGTGTATCCAGCTCTAATAAAAACATTTAAAGGTGAAGCACCTACTTATCAGGAGATCCATTTATTTTTACATGTTATTGTTTGAATTTTGTCTCGTTTCATAACTTTTGCTCAACATTTAAGGGGAACTGTGTTACCCTGCGATCATCTTCATTACACTTGAAAACTTGTACTATACCTACGTCCGTCTACTTATTAAATGGAATAACATGACAAGATTCTATCTACTGGTTTTTTGATCAAGGGATGATTAGGTGTTGTGAGAAGATTCTCTATGCTTCTGAGTCTGTGTTAAGTTGCAACTGGACACACATACCCACACACAGTTTGTTCATTTGTTCTCAGAATGAGAATAATGACTTTTAGAGTTAAAAAGTTATTTTTTTTTCTTGATGTCACTGAAGGCTGTGTTAGAAATATATGCAGCTCATTAAAAGGAAAAGTAACTGATGTAACCAAAAGCCTGAAAACAGGAGAATAGAGACACCTGCCAAGATAAAGAGCTGGAGCTTTTGCTCCTTTTCAGAGTCACTCCCATGGAATAGGCCTGATGATTTACTAGCTTCTCTTACCTTCTCTGCAAACAATGTTTAATATGAGCTTCAAGAGGTCTCTGCCCCTAACGGGGTTTGCTTTCACTTAGTAAAAATGCATAATTTTTCTGAATAAGATTATTAAGAGGCCACCCATATGGTGGAGCGTTGGTAATGTAACCGGTTAGATTTGTGTCCGACTTGATGCCGACTTGCTCTGACGTCATGCATACGTAGGCAACGATAACCACTTGAGATCAAGGCGGCCGCAGATTTTGGAGCAAGGCGCTGCAGTTGCTCTCCCTCGGCTGCTAAACCTAGGGGATGACGGGAAACGCCTGGCTCTCACCTGATCTAAGATCTGATTGGTTCATATTTTGATCCAATCATCTGGTGGTAGAACATGAAATGTTAGTTGGTCACATGTATTCTGTAAATCATGTAACGTTGATGATGACAACTATATAGGCCATAAAGAGAAATGTGATTTGTGTTCTTTTGTCATGTTTCCTATGAGCACACTGAAGCTACAGCTGCTAACCTTTACTTATTATTACAGTCATGTCTCCATATACAATATATGATATCCACAAGCATGTGAGGATGTGTTTCAGCTGCTAACAGGCACCAGAATTAAAATTGAAAATTGAACAAGTATGAACGCTAACGCGATATCTTCATCCATCGTCACCCCCGAGCTACACATGCAGGAAATTGTGTCTGCGCACAGCAGATCTGTTCTGTAACATAAGGAGCCATTGGCTGAAAGCGAACAGCCCTGGCAGAAGCATATATTTGATTGACAGGTTCATTAGCCAATGGTGACGTTTGTTGACCTGCGACGTTAGGAGAGTCTCAAAATTCAGCACACCGATTTCTCTCACGAATGCAGGAAGGTTCACAAATGAGAAGCTGTTCGTGAATGCACCACACAGATTTCACTCACAAACGCGGAAAGGTTCACAAATGAGAAGCTGTTCGTAAATGCACGTTCAGCAATTCGTACGATCTGAGTTTATATTACAAGTGTTCTTACAAATTATATTTGTGAACCACAGAGTGTGAACTTCAGAATTAGCATGTGCATTTGTGGAAAATGTTGCGTGACTTATTTTTTCACATTATATTTATGAGTCAAAGAGTGTGAATTTCCGAATGAGCGTGTGCATTTGTGTTCCTCCGAATTATATTTGTGAAACACAGAATGTGGATTTCCGAATGAACGTGTGCATTTGTGGAAAACGTTGTGTGACTTAATTCTTATTGAGACTGTTCTGGCCTCATACACTTCACTACAAAAAGCTGGGATCACTCACGGGAATATAAACCCCGAACACATCATGTGTACTGATCAAGTATATAAAGTGAAGTTGATTGGCTTTTCAAGAGCGTCCAAAACAGCTGAATTGTCCGATTTTAAAATTCCCTTGAGTTGTGGCTATACAGCACCAGAAATTTTCCTGGACTGTCCGCTGGATCAGAGCGTGGACATATGGAGCCTTGGGCTGTCACTTGCATTTCTCTTTCTGGGCAAACACACGGGCCCGGTCGAATGTGACTATCATTATATGAGGTTCATTGTAAATATGTTTGGTCAACCTGAAAAAAAGTTACTGGATGTAGGCAGTCAAGTCAGACGATATTTTAAACTAACAAAGAAAAATATTTGGAAACTCAGAACACCAACTGATTTTGAAGTAAGGGGAAGCAAAATTATGAGGACAGACAGCAATTATTTCAAATCTCTAAATGATCCTTCCTTCATAAGCCAGTCACCATGTCCCACAAACCACGATGACATCAAAACTTTTCTCGACTTTCTTTCGAAGATGTTGAAGGAGAATCCTGTAGATCGAATCTCACCCGCTGAGGCGCTCAAGCATACATTTATCACAATGGAGCATTTGGATCCTTTCTCAGACAGATTGTACGTGGCAGAATCACATCGCATCATGAAAGAATGTCAATACGAAGAACCAAGAAGTGATGACAGTTCTCTTTCACCTCCAGCAAAGGAGATCGGTGATTCAGACAAAGAATCGATACACTCGACTCACACAGACTCACGCATATCTTTGGAAATAAGGCCAGGTATGACAATCAAAGGAAATTCAAAGGATTATCTAGTCGAAGACATAATTGATGCTGGATCATATGGTGAGGTTTACAAATGCCACATAGAGGATACAAATCAGTTCGTAGCCTTGAAGTTTGTAAGGAAATCAGACGCCACAGATTTTTTAAACGAAGTGAAAGCTTTGCAACGTTTGAATAATCTGAAACATTTCAAACGCTACTTCATCAAGCTGAATGACCACTTTGATTTCAAAGACTGGTTTTGCATGGAATTTGAGCTTTTGAAAGAAAATTTGTTGGACTTCAGTAGAAGACAAAATCGTTCTTTAAAGGTGTATGAAATCCGAGCAATTGCCAAGCAAATGTTGACAGCGCTACGTGTTTTCAAACAGCTTGGAATTTCTCACGCTGACTTAAAACCTGAAAATATCATGCTAGTTAATCATGAAAAACAGCCATTCGGGTTGAAGCTGATTGATTTTGGCGCTGCCTGTGAGACTGAGCAGTTACCAGACGAGTATATTATTCAGACTTTAGGATACCGAGCGCCAGAGGTTATTCTTGGTCTTCAACCAGATGAATCTATAGATATGTGGAGTCTTGGCTGTATCTTGGCAGAGCTTTTTCTAAATTACCCCTTGTTTCCAACGCAGAATGAATATGATAATCTGAGAGTGATCATGAAGCTCTTTGGAGAGCCTAATAAAAAACAACTAGAAGACGGGTCTCTGGTCTCAGATTATTTCATAAAACAGCAGATTGGGTCTGAAACCTGTTGGAGATTCAAAACGCCGGACGAATATCAAAAAGATGGCGACCTGTCACAGAGGGCACACCCTGCCTATGATGATATTACATGCCTGGATGATTTGTTTTTCTCACACAAGACAAGGAACTCAGCAGAAAATACGGACTTAAAGGCTTTTCTTGATCTTGTGAAAAAGATGCTAACAGTGGATCCCAATGAACGAATTCGACCAGCTGATGCTGTAAATCATCCGTTTATCACGATGGAGCATCTAAATAATACCTCGGTTCAAAGTTACGTACGAAAAGCTCATAAAATAATGAAACATGTCCAAAAGAGACCACCAGGAATCTATCCTTCAGAAGGTGAAAGAGAAAACACTCTGTGTCCTGGTTCCAGTAAAATGCCAATAGATCCTATAACTTTAGATGGATCTTTACTAAAAATTGAATGTGATGACTCCACATCCGGTTCAAAATTCAACCCAGAAGAATTGGTGAAGATTTATTACGATGAACAAAGACGGAAAATGGGGACGGGACGGGAAAATCGTTCCCCAGTACTTCAGACACAAACCAAGACAGGTACAAAACCAACTGGTGAAAGGAAAAACACCCCACACCCTAAAACCAGCAAGATCCCATCTAATCACGTAGATGAGCTGCTTAGTGAGGAAGCAACATTTGGCTTGAAGTCATCAAAGAGAGCCAGTTCAATAGGAACAGAGTGCTTTGTTGTGAGAAACCAGCCACCGGTAAAAGTTATAGAAAACCAATTTGATGACGCAGACATAAAACCGAAAGACAACAAACATTTAGAGTTAATGCCAGGCATAACAATTAAAGGCAATTCAAAGAGTTACCTTGTTGAGGCCAAAGTAGGAGCTGGGGCGTTTGGAGAGGTTGCCAGATGCCGCATAGAGGAAACAGATAAGGTAGTAGCTTTAAAAATAATTAGGACCAAATATATCGATGCATTTTTTAATGAAGCGAAACAATTAGAATGTCTGAACAGCCTGAAATATTATAACAATTACTTAATCAGGTTGAATGAATGTTTTTACTACAAAGACTGCTTTTGCCAGGAACTGGAGCTTTTGGATGAAGATTTGATGGACTTCATGAGAAGACAAGGTGTTCCCTTAAAGGTGTCTGAAATCAGGGCGATCACCAAGCAAATGTTGGAAGTTCTCAGTGCTTTCAAACAGCTTGGTATTGTTCACACAGACATAAAACCTGAAAATATCATGCTTGCAGATCATGAGAAGCAACCATTCAGGGTCAAACTGATTGATTTTGGGTCTGTTTGGGCTAGTGATGACTTACCACAGAAGGCCACACTTCAGAATTTACCATACCGAGCACCAGAGGTCATTCTTGGTCTTCCACGTGATGAAGCAATAGACACATGGAGTCTTGGTTGTGTCATGTCTACTCTGTTTCTTGGTCGGCATTTGTTCCCACCAGAAAACAAATACGACAATCTGAGGTTGATCATGGAGCTCCTTGGTCAGCCTGATAAAAAAATACTGGAAGACGGGACTCTTGTCTCAAAATATTTCACCAAAAAAATGAATTTCTTTAGATCTTGGAGATTTAAAACCTTTAAGGAATACCAAAAGACGAACGAAGAGGTGTCTGAGAGGGCAGACTTAGTCTACCATGAGTTCAAATCCCTGGATAAGTTGTTCTTATCAAAAACAAGCAACCCCGCTGAAACTGAAGATATAAGAGCTTTTCTAGATCTTGTGAAAAAGATGCTAACATGGGATCAAGATAAACGGATTCTACCAGCTGATGCTCTGAAGCACACGTTTATCACGATGAAGCATCTCGATGACGTCTCAGATAGAAGTTATGTGAGAAAAGCTCGTAGAATAATGGAAAATGCCCAATGGAGAAGACCAGAAAAAGTTTCTTCAGAAGGTGGAAAAGAAAACAGTCCACATAAGACACCGAGTGATCCAATAGATTTAGACGGATCTTTACCAAAGGCAGAATTTGACGAATCAACACCCAGTTTAAACATCAGTCCAGAAGAAATATTAGAGACTTACTGGAAAAATCAAAAGAAAGTAAGATTTGATGTTGAAAGTAGGTCAAGCAGAGTGAGTTTTAAGAAGGTGGTCACTGGAAAGTTCAGATGCATGAAACGACAGATGAAGAGAAAAATCATAAAATTGATGTATAGAGTTGTGGACATTAGCCTAATGAATGTATAATGAACAACAACAAGATGGCCGCTGGACAGGTGTGCCTGTGAGAGGCTCTCCAAACAATTTAAGAAGATTATTTTTAAAAGTGCTTGGAATGGTGAAAATTTGTGTGGAAATCCTCTGAAACCAAGACCTTTAACTGCAAGTTGATAAATTTATGACTGGAGCTGTGGAATATGCCAAAACCAAGGCAAAAGCAATCCTCCAAACAAGGAGGATTGCCACTTTAAGAGGCAAAGGCAAAAAATTGTTTTTATCATGCTTAGACTTTTCCACATTAATTTATCCTTTGAAACAAGCTCCTTTGCACTTCCAGTAGATTATTTCAAAATAAAACATACCACTGAAAAATTACTACGTTTTGAATTTGTGGCACTAACATAGATGATCTACATAATGAGGAAACCAGAATGTCTTCAGTTACACAAACAACTTATCTATACTAATTATACACACCTGCTTAGACTCTATCAAAACCTGGATGGTGGGAACTTTCTATAGCTGAATGAAGATAAGACTGAGATCCTCACCTGTGCCCCGTGCTCTGAAAATGCGCTCTTGTGCAATTAGAAAAAAAAGCAGCATTCTAATTTTCTAACTGCAGAGCGCATTTTCAGAGCGGCAGATTAAATAAATGCCCCCAATTAGCGTTTGTAAATTTAATCTGCCGCTCTGAAAATGCCCTCTCCAGTTAGTAAAAAACCCAGCAATGAATGCTGTATTTTTTTTTTAAACTGTAGAGCGAATTTATTCATTGAAAAATAGAATGCTGCCGTTTTCATGAGAATAAACGAATGGTTTCTGACATATCAAAGTGGACATAAAATGGCATATTAGAATAGGGGCACATGTTTCAGTCAGCAGTTTGAGAATTCGTTTATATAGGCGCATTTATAAACCAGTTCAGTTCAGTTCAGTACAAATAAATGAGTTTAAATCTAAATTGATGGATATTGAATGTGGAGTACCTCAAGGATCAGTATTGGGAGTAAAAATGTTCATAATGTATATAAATGATATTTGTAAAGTATCGAAGATACTAAGTTTGTAATTTTTGCAGATGATACCAATATACTTTGTTCAAGTGGGGAATTTCAACAGGTTGTGGAGGTGATCACACAGGAGTTAAAGATATTAAAGAAGTGGTTTGATAGAAACAAATTGTCCTTAAATTTAAATAAAACAAAATTCATGTTATTCGGAAACTATAAGAAAAACATTAACATTGAAATTTGTGTTGATAATGTATATCTAGAAAGGGTCAATACCATAAAATTTCTTGGTGTGATCATTGATCATAAAGGCCTGTTGGAAATCACACATCACTTATGTGAGGGGAAAGTTAGCACGGGGCATTGCTGTCTTGGGGAAAGTAAAACATTTTCTGGATAGGAAAACATGTTATATTGTGCTTTACTATTACCCAGGGGCGTTGGACTGGGGGGGGGGAGGGGGGAGGGTACCGTTTACCCAGGGCCCACTGCAGGGAGGGGCCCTGAGACAGCTTTGAATAAAAATGTTTTATTGTTGTTGTTTTTTCCCCCAACTTACTTAATGTCTTAATAAACTTCCCTTTACCTGGATGAAGAGGTTAAGAAACATAATTTCGCCTTAAAAATAATAACTGAATAATCTCTGAGGCATCTATCACCCCTTAAAAATGTGCAAAGTGGTTTAGTCCACACCTGCGGCCAGGGGCTGCACAGCCGCACAGTACAGCTAATGAGACATCGCAGATGCCGACAGCCAGAGCTGGAGGCAGGAGTCAGTCATGTCTTTTCCCAAGAAAGGGAAATCTGGCTTCCAAAAAAGGAAAGAAAAGAAGGAGAAGGAGGAAAAGTTAATTGAACAGAAGCAAGTATTGACTAGGTTCTTCAAGAAGGAAGGTGAGCAGCAGCAGAACACAGTTTTAGCTGATATTAGCTAGCTCTCAGAAGCTGCATTCATGTTAGGTGTTCAGTGTTAAACGCCTTTAGTTTCACCATCAAGATCAAATATAAATTAGTGTTATCAGTGAAAACACTAATTAATATATATATATATATATATATATATATATATATATATATATATATATATATATATATATATATTAATCAGAATTATTATCGCGGGCGGCCGCCGCCAATTAATTGGCGGACCTCGCAGTAAAAACAGGTTCACTCTGTGTGGATATTTCAGCTCCTTCCCAGTCATGGACCAGGACAAACTTGGTATCGATGGATTCGTGGTAATCTCAGGAATGTGAAGCTGCCACTGTTTTTCGTATAGCATGATGACACTGGTGTTAGAGGATTGTTATTGACTTGGTTAGATATTTTAAGCCTATTTTAAATTTCTTTATATTTGATCTTGAAAACGGACAATCTTATAATTTGGCTGATAATGCAGGGATTATAAAATTTAGAGTACATTACATTCACAGAGAGAACCTGGTTTATTTCATGTCATATGTATTCAATATATCAATATATATCAGTATTAGCAAAGCTTAACATCACAAACCACATGGCCCTTTAGACGCAGCAGCAGCAGCAGCAGGGCCCTCATTGTCTCCAGAAAGCACTGAGGAGATGAGACAAGGTGAGCTCACTATACAATTAAGTTATTCAATTTACAAGCAATCATTAGCAGCAGATTTATCTGAAAGGACATGTTAGGTTATATTTTGGTGACCTAATTCATGATCTATTGAAAGCCAATTAGCCAAAGGATTGGACTTTAAAGATCTCATAAGTGATTTTGCTAACATGAAGACCCGTCAGTGGGCATTTACTGGAAAATAAATTCCAGGATTTTTGTTTGAACACATTGTTGGCAAATAAAAATAATTATATGTGAAGTCTGGGCATTTCACTTTTATTATGCTGGCATTTGTATTTGCTCAATATAGAGGTTAAACTAAGATCATTTTATTATCTTGTCTTATAGCATGACAAAAATGTGTAAGAGAGATATTAAACAATTGAGCATGGGGGCCCACCTAGAAGACTTGTACCTAGGGCACAGAATTTGGTGCTACGCCCCTGCTATTACCATACATGAGTTATTGTGTAGAGATTTGGGGAAACTTATAAAAGTAATATTCAGACTATAATCATAATGCAGAAAAGGGCTATTAGACTAATAAATCAGGAGGGGTATAGGGCTCACACAAACGCACTCTTTATTAAGATGCAAGCTTTAAAATTCCAGGACCTGGTCAAGTTTAAAACAGTGCAAATAATATATAAGGCAAGGAAAGGGATGCTCCCACTTGAAATAAGTAAATTGTTCTTAGAAAGAGAAGGGAGGTATAATTTTAGAGGGAAGTGGAATTTAAAAGTACAAAGAGTAAGAACAACATTGAAAAGGATGGCTATTTCAATAGCGGGCGTTAAATTCTGGAATGAGTTAACAGAAGAAATAAAGGTCAGTAGTGATATAAACCAGTTTAAAATAAAACTCAAAAAAGAAATGTTAAATAAGTATAAGAATGAAGAAAATGCAATTAACCCAGGACGGCATGCAAACTGATGTTTAATCTCTTCTACAAATTAGCAAATCTAAATATAGTTCTAGTTGAACATGAGAATTATTATTATTTTTAAGGCATTGTAAATGTTTTTGTTGTTCAAATTTAGATGATGAGGATGTAAACCTGAGGGGGTAGGGCTAAATAAGTATATACTTCTCCCTACTCCTTTTCAAACAACTGCATGGAATGATTTTATGAAATGTTGGTGAATGTATATGTTTGAAATAAAATGAACTGAACTGAACTGAAGCCCGGCCCTCGGGCTGTCGGTCGGGCCGACCCGAGGGCCTAGGGCTTCAGTGCAGGGCTCTAGTGCATGTGTGCGTGCGTGTGTGTGTGTGTGTGGACGGAGGGTACAGCACAGTATCACAGTAGGGCAGTCCCCCTGTCTTTAAAGGTCTGGTCCGGGTGGGGATGGGTTATTGGTGGTCTGGGGGACAGAGGGGGTTCGCGGCTGCCTTTTGAGTACCACCAATGTAAAGCATGTCAGCTGACCAAAGTGTTGAACAAAGAAGAGCAGCTGCAGCAAAAAAACAAACAAACAAATAAATTAAAAACTTTCACCAAGATTTAAAAGCCCTTCATAGATAATAAATAAAAGCAAAAGTTCACATAACACTTAAAGCCATAACTTTTTCATCCTCGCCTGCTGGTGGTGGTCAGAGGGACCGGTGGTGCCAGCGCTCGGCAGACTCGCCTCTGTCAGTGTGCCCCAGGGCAGCTGTGGCTACAATGTAGCTCATCCCCACCAGTGTGTGAATCTGTGTGTGTGAATGGGTGAATGACTGATTGTGTTGTAAAGTGCCTTGGGGGGTTCAAGGACTCTAGAAGGTGCTATATCAAATACAATCCATTTACCACTCATATTTTAAAATAAATTTCTTGAGCCAGTATGTGCTAAAACAATCCTTTGCAGGGTTAATAAATGTCACTCTGACTCCCACCGCCCTCTGTGGCCAGAATACTGCATTTGCAACTTCAGAGTGGCGGGCCGCCACCTGTTAGACCTGGCGCTGCAGTCTGCTTCCAGCACGTTTCCTGCATGCTTTAGATCATGAACACAGCTGCTTTCTTTAATTTAGTATTAATCACTCCTGTAGACATGAATGAAGGCTAAGGAGACATTTCAGCAGTTAGATTAAGGTGTTAAAAAGATGAACGCACAGCGAGGAAATGGTTTCATTTTCGGTTTGACCAAAGAGAACTATTAACAGAAACTAGAAAGCCCACTCACAACAGGATTTAGTTTTACCAGCATAAGTTTATAGTTTCTAATCAAACATGTCAGATATCAAAATGGCATTCTCTTGATGAGCTTCAAGTGGACCTGAAACACTTTTCCCAACAGTCTTGAAGGACTACCTCTTGAAGCTCACCAAGAGAATGCCTAGAGTGTGCAAAGCAGTAATCAAAGGGTGGCTTTTTTTGAAGAAAATATAGTATAAAACATGTTTTCAGTTATTTCACGTTTTTTGGTTGAGCACATAACTTCATAGTTTTGATGTCTTCAGTGAGAATCTCCCAAAGTAAATGGTCATGAAAATAAAGAAAACACGAATAATCTCAGCATCCTCCATGCTTTTGTAAAGCGTGCTACACCCTGCCTAGCTGATGAAGCAGCATCCAACTCAGTCTGAACTTTGTCAGCACTCATTTATTCTGTCATGTCTGCATGTGACCAGCAGAGGGCACTAAACTAACCAAAAACTTCTTCAAACTCCAGAATCGCTCCAAACGTTTATTATTACCTCCTCCATAATAAAACACCCGTGTAGACTACATACTCATTCAGCTTTTTAGTCATTCAGTGTCAGTAACAAAGAAGGATTAGGAAGAATCAGCTGAGCTCATTCATTGCTTTCTGTGTGACCTTCTGACCTGAAACGTTAACTGACTCAGCAGAATGAGATCACTGTGACTCACATGACTCGTCTGGAGGGATAAGTAAGGTGTCAGCGCATGATTCACCACAGTTTCTGCTGTCTGGAAGATTTAAACTCTCCATCACATTTCCCAGATTAGCTCCTGTTCAGTCACAATCATGCAGCTTGTTGTTTTAAAGGAGGTATGTGAAGCATGTAGTTTGTTTTTGGTAGTTTACTGAGAGCACTAAAAATGCTAATCAGTCAGAAGCAGCACATTGTTAACAGATGAGTCTGGAAGCTGTGTGCCATATCATTAAGTGTTATTTAGTTAAAATTTAAGTAAATAAGTTAGTTTTTTTTAGTAAAAAGGGGGAAACAATCACTTGACATTATTGTAAGGAAAGAAAGATGGTGTTGAAACCAAAACTAAATTAATAAAACTATCACGAGCAGAAATCTGTGATGATTTCTGGCTTTACATAACTTAACGTATAAATTGTAAAATTAAACATCCAGTGAAGTAAAATGCTTTTGTTTGAACATGCATCTACCCTATCTGCTCAAACTCTATTAGATTTTCTCATTTAGAACAATTTAACTTTATATTTTAGCATCTGAAATAAAGAAAGTCATGTCACCAGTTATTTTTGGTTGAATCTTGTTTTAAACTCTCGCCTCTGCAGGTGTAAAACGGTTTTTGTTTCTGTCATCCACGTAACGATTTCTCTTTCTGCGCCACACGTGTCATAGAAGCCATATCTTCAGGAAGTGGATTTCATTTCCAAATTACAGCCTTTAAATCACTTCCAGATGAGCAGAGAGACACGTAGGCTGGAAAAAATAAGATGCTAGGAGGCGATGGAACAGCTGCGTGACAGCAGCCAGAGTAAAAAGGAATCGTAACGGGATCTGGAGACGTGCATGAGATAAACTGTGGGACGTTTCTTCAGAAAATGCTCCGATTGTTTGTCAGGAAGGCCTGAAGCTTTTCTGCAGCTCAGAGCCGAATGAAAACCTCAGGAAAGCTGAGAGAAAAATCCCATAAGGTCCATGTTTGCTCAAATGTGACCAATGGGAAAGTCCACATCTGCTTCCAAGCGCCCACCTAACAGCTGCACTAAAACACCATCTAACACACGGGTGCAGCTGTTTACTCAGCAAAACTCTTAGACAGAAACTCCTTCAACAGGAAATGAAATAAAACACAAACTTGTTTATTATTCATTTGACTGATTTTCAATCCCAGACCTGTTCCAGTTAAATACAAACACAAAAGGTCTCACAGAGAGTCTAAAAGAAAAAATTCCTTGCTTAAATAGCGTCACCAGCTACCGCTAAGCTTCCGAGTTATTTTACAGCTCCAGCTCGTGCTCTAACTTTTAGCATCGATGGACGTTTCTTTTAATGTGAGAAAAAAATGAAGCTATTTGAATATTCCTAACTTTAATTATTATCATCATGTTCCTGTTGAGGAACACAATGATTTACGTGTAAAAATCCAAACAACAACAGCTTTTGTTACTTAAGGAAACACCCAGTCAGGGTTGAGCTCGTGGGTGTGTATTTAAATAGTTTTTTCTTTATCCAGTGAACAAATGAACTATGAACCGTTCTGCACCAGCAGAACAGATCTGTGTGTAAAGTTTATTGCTGCAACACTTTATCTAAGACCTGAGCCATTTGGGCCTATTTGGACTTGACACGAGTGAAAACCAACGCATACAATGATGTTTTAGAGAAATGTTATGTGTACATTTCCATGAGGTCATGTCCACATAACATTTCTGTGGTTGATACCAAACAGGTTTGTGAAGTTCTTCACACTAAGTCCCTCTCACATCAAGCAATTTTAATTTTGGCAGTTTCAGTACTTTCCAGAATGAGCCGTTTCAGGGCTCTGTCACTTTAACTCTTTACCTGCTGGTAGAGCATACCTAAAGTCCTTGCATCTTGTTGAGGCATTAAATGAACAAAAAAATAATAGTAAAAGAAAAAAAATTCTAAAGAATATGGAGTTGTTAGAAGAAAGGACATAACATTATTAAAATGCATTATTATTACCTTAATATTGCTAAATATTATATTTATATTATTATTTTATTAAAACTCTTGCCCAAATCAAAAAATGCAAAAGTGGAAGTTTTTCATTGCTTTTTGCTCAGTGAGAAAGTTCAAGAGCTAAGAAAACACGCCCACCCATCCTCCGCTCAGACTGCTATTGACCCTTTGCACCTGCATCGCCAGATCACATGGGTCCACCACATTGGACGGCAAAAGCATAGCAAACAGTGTGCGAAACGAGTTTTGAACAAAAGGAGAAGTAGCATTTGAGACAGTTTTTTTTGTCGTCCTTGTATTTTGCAATGTTGAGCATGACCTCAACTAGTTCAAGCCCAGTTCAGTTACCAGAAGCTCACTTAGGTGGGGCAGCATAATTACATGAGTGTTGAATGGAGAGGAAAAGTCACCAAGATAGTTTTTTAGCCAGTTTAATCTGGTGTTTACTGGTTCAAGCCCAGTTCCCTTGTGGGTACAGTAGATTTAGCACACCTAGCTGGGGCTCATAGAGAGTATTTACAAAAGTGTTAGCTAGCTCATGAACGTTAGCTTACATTCTCCCTGCTGCTGCTCACCGATGTAAACAAGTTGCCAACTTATCCAGAATTTACCCTGCTGGATTTATAACATCATGTGATTAACAGCCTGATAAAAAAATAAAAAATTAAACAAAACAAAAAAGTTCGGATCTCTTCCAGTTTGCTTGGGGGGGTCACCGGGTTCAGATACAACACATTCTCACACCCGAAGCGTTGAAAACCTGACGATGGGTGACCAAGAGTTTGTTTCATGGACGTAATTTTGGGGGGGGGGGGGGGGGGGGGGGGGGGGACAGGGGGGACATGTCCCCCCCACTTTTTCTAAAATCAAGTTTTGACCCCTGCACTTTTTACCATCCAAAAACAACATTACGCTATATTAAATTGACACTGGTTGAGCTCTAGGACCAAGCGGAAAACAACCGTTTGGCTTGAAGCCTGTTTCCCATTAGAGCATACTGTAAAGATACCCCCCCCCCCCTTGTGTCCCCCCCACTTCTAAAGTGAAAATTACGTCCTTGGTTTGTTTCCGACGCTTTGGGAGCCCCAGCACGTCAAGAGGTGACCCGCTGTGCCAGAGCGTTATTTTCCAACTCCTGCGGTAAAACGGAGATTTCACCAAATTGTGACCTTTACCCTGTTGCTATTTAACCTTCTCCTCACCCCCATCCTAACCTTAACACTTTTGCGAATGTAAACCTTTGTTTCTAGTTGTAACTTCCCTCTCAAACATGGTTAACGGGAAGTTTAGAATGAGAGACTGGGTTAAGGTTAGGATGTAGGTGAGGGGAGGGTTAAATAGCAAGAGGTTAGAGGTTAAATGTTGGTTAAATGTGCGTTTTACTGCAGGCGTCTGAAACCGACGCTCTGGCACAGCGCGTCGCCTGTTGGTCGGAAACCAACACTTGGTCACCCGTTGTAATTTTTCGATGCTTTGGGTATGAGAATGTGTTGACAGATGCAGCTCACACACCAGGATGGGACAAGATATCTCATGATGCTAAATAAATAATGTAATTAAACACACACTTAATCCTACACTGGAACAATATTATGATAAATAATTAGCTTGCATTTCACTACAGCGGACGGTACAGCACATCTTCCATGTGTTGGCTGTAAATACGTAAATACTTTCAGGGCTGCTAGTCTGTTACCGCTGCAGCTCAACTGTCTTTTGTCTCCATCACAGTTATTCAAAACAAGACGAGTTGAATTTACGTCCTTGTCTGTGAGCTCAGCCAACCGCGCAGCAAACTATTACCATGTTACTGTGAAATCAACTAAATAAAAGCAGCATAAGGCTACGAAATGTCTTGTTTTGACTGGCGTCCCAGGAGTTTCAACGAGTGTAAACCAGTACATAACGGTCCTTCTGCCATCTATCATGGCAAAGGGGCGGTTCCATGAGCAGCGTGACGTCACGTGCTAAGAGTCAATAAGTTGAGAAGCTGAGATTCCCAAGAAGGGCTCAGAGTGGATCCTCTGATCTTCCAGCAGCAGCTCTATCTTGCACATGAAAGATGTTTTTTTTTGTTTTGTTTTTACAAATGTTCCCGTTTGTGACACCCCAAATAGGGACTTTTTGAAACGGCTTGTTTTAGGCACATATTTCCGACAACCAAACACTGACAGGAAACTTATGGATGGATGTTTTCATGTTTGGACAGTTTATAGTGGCAGTAGAGACCCACATGGCAGCACTAAAGGATGCAAAAGATGAGTTTTGCATTAAATGTTGTCTTTACATTTTTTAAAGGGACAGAAGAGTCCGATTTAAATAAAGACTTGATGGACCCTTAATGGAGTCTTTCCTTGTCTCAGCGTCTTTGCGGTTCACACATTTCTGGTCTCCATATCCTTTTGTCTCCTGCGCCTCCACAGCAGGCCGACCAGCAAAAGGAGAAGCAGGAGGCCCACGGCCCCCCCGATGAGCCCTGATGTCAGAGGCAGCCAGTTATCAACGGGCCGGTACATCATACAGGACCCGTCACTCTTCCCGGCACTGTTCACAGCAAACACACACACTTTGGCTCTATGGTCCATGTCTTGTACTATACCACTCCTCCGGGTCTCCTCTAGAACCAGCTCGTCTTCACGACCTTCAACTGCCACGACGTAAGTCGTGACCTGGGAATACGGAGCACACCAACGGACCACTACTCCTGATCCGTTGTAGGACACTGATTTTAGTTTGGGAGCTTCTGGAATATCGCTGTCCAGAGTGAATCCTGGGCACGAACAGCCAGTGGCAGCTGATAGGGTGAGGCAGGGGGTCTGATCCTCACGACAGGGGTCGTAGTCACACCGCTGGATGACCTGTTGGGACACTGGGACCAGTCCAGAGGGGGTGACTGTGTCCTCATACACGTCATACTCTGAGAGGTCCGGAGGTTTCCCTGTGACTCCAGACACTGTTGGCAGAGGATTGATGGAAACCAGACAGATGATCAGGAGGGGCAAAGGAAGATCCCCCGTGGGATTCGTCATTCTGGGAATCATAAAAAGAAGATTTCCATCATCTGTTTTATTCACATTAGCTTCTTTCTAGGTTCATCTCCTACTTAATGAGGACAAACTGTTCTTTATTCCTTCCTGACTCCTCATCTTGTGTGAATTTTGAGAGGAAGGCTGGATTTACTAAAGTGGAAACATCAGCACTGTTTCAGAACCACACCAGCCTGCCTTTACATAAACCGGTGACAACAAGTGCATAAGGAATGGACTTCAGTGTTGATTCAGAGTCTTGTTAACAGAAATAATCCTCATTCATTTAGAGGCTCTCCTCTCCAAGTCAGCATTCCAGGCAGGATTGCACAACAGGTCCGAACGCCTGCAGACCTAGGAGATGGGAGCTCAGCCGAGTCGCACGGGTCTGGTTGCAGGGAAAGTTCCCGTGTGCCAAAACTATCCACACATGCATTACGATCTCGTGTGATCCTCTTTTGATAACTCAAAGCAAACCTCTGTAAAAAAAAAATAAATCTCCAGATTTTAACGTTTTAGATCAGAGCCGGAGCTCCTCCTGGATCCCTGACGTCTTTGCTTCCAGCTGGACTAAAACTCTGAAAGTAACAGACAGGATCTTACCTGTTGCTTGTGATCTTCATCTGAATCTGAGTGAGCTTCCTCCTCATCTTCCTGTCCTTTTTACGTTTCCCTCCTGCCAAACAATCACCTCCTTCATTCTGCCACCCCCTCCCACTGCACCAGCTCCGCCTCCCTGCGTGCTAAATACTTCAGCAGCGTGACCATGACTGAGTGCACGCTGCTGCTGTTAGTTAGATCATCTTGCAGATCACCTTCTAATGAGAGCCTTTTCTCCTTTTTAGGAATCATTGGTGCTCATCGTTTACCAGAGAGGTTATTCACCAAACGTCTCACCTAAAGTACACAAATACCAAGGAACACAGAAGTTAACCTGACTGGAAATGTTCTGAAGACAGTTTGTGATGAATAGAGCAGATTAAAGCAGGTTCAGTATAATCTATCAGCTCTGTGTCTGTAAAAAAAAAAAAAAAAAAAAAAACATTTTGGCCATTTTTGTGGTTCCTGAGGTAAGTCAGCTGAGGCGGCCATATTTAATTAAATTAGCTAAAGTTTCAGTTTTGCATTTTTTTATTTCAGCCAAAACCTAAAATACTTTGAATTATTGTGAACAAGAAATGAAATGAAAGGTGGGATCTTTTTTGTTGTTGTTTTCTCGTGGTTTGGACATTTTCTGATCACCAGTCACGTCGTTGGAGCTGAGACCTTCTCGTTTTTGGTTGACTTCATAGACACGATTCTAAAAGTTAAACATTTCTATAAAACATTTGGTAACGCTTCCTTTTACAGTCCCCTAATTACTGAGTACTTACATGGTAATTACATAGTAAGTTAAAGTGTACTATTGTTTCTGAGTTCTGAAACAGTTATTACCATGTAACTAAGGTTCAATTCTAGTTTTTATTTTATTAGTCATTCCCAGTAAATACTGCTTTACACAACAATTACACCTTATTACAATTATACACTTTAATTACACAATATTACACTTTAACTTACTGTGTGATTACCATGTAAGTACTTAGTAATTAGGGGACCGTAAAAGGAAGCGTTACCAAATATTTTACTCCACCAGCTGGTGTTACAGAAGATTTTAGCAAAACTGATCAGAGACCAGTAAAAAGAGCCTTTGAAAACATCCACTTAGGACATCTGTATGCAGGATAGGCCCAACCCTGTGTAGACAAACTGTCTCCCTACACTGTGATCCTCTAATTAATTAACAAACAGGGTTGACTTCAACAGTTAACGTCAACTTTTAAACAAAGATTTCTAGTTTGTCTCTTGATGAGTGTGATGTGAATGACTCTCAGCTACTAAAACACCAAATTGTAGCTCAAAACCTGTAAAACTGACTCCGTTTTAGCCATTTTGTTCACTGATTGGACACAAATGGCAGTCTTTATTTTCTGAGAGTTTTATTTTTTAAAGCCCTGAAAGTATCTTCCACATATCAGCTTAAACCATCAAGAAATCAGCAATCCTGCCTTTTTAAATAATGATATAAATATAACATGTTATGACTCAGGAGTTTCTCATTCCTGTTTTTAATAGGAAAATGTAACATCTGGAAGATTTCCTCCTCGTGAGGCAAAGACAAAACAGTCAAGATTATCTTAAATGTCTTAAAATTTCTGTTGAAGTTGGAAAATATTCTGATTTTCATATTGTGAGCATCGGTTCTCTTAGATATTTGTTAGCTGTTTTTGTCATTTCTACAGTATGCGTGCCTCTGGGTGAGCGCATGTGTTGCGTGCCCAGACGAGGGTGTGTGGGTGTGTAAGCGTGATGCATGTGGGTCTGTTTATGTGTTGTGTAACATGGATCTTATTCATACAGACTATTGTGTTACAGTTTAATTTGTTTCCCCTCTTCGTTAGAATTGTGTGACTCAGATGGTTTGTAAAGATTTTACAAATGAAACCTGCTAATGTTTATGACCTGTTGGGAAGGAAAATTGTATAAATGCCAGAAAAAGGACCTAAAAAGCAGAAACTGATTGGTGGAGGGGGATGTGTTTCATTGGGAGGGACACAAATGCAAGGAAAAATGTTGCAAAGTAAATTATTGTGTAACAACATGACGTGTTGGTCCTGTTTGTCACAGAAAAGGCTGCATCAGATTTTCCCCCAGAAGCCAGGCCATCTGGGACCAGGAGGCTGTTTTCTCCATCAGAAACAACTCCACCAGGAATTATTCATTTTAGTTTATGAACTCTGTCCGGATGCCTCCTGCAGGGTCGTGTAACTGCAGGAGCAGAGTTTTTTTTAGGTTTCTTTGGAGGGAATTCAAATAACACTAATCATGCCAACTCATTGGCAAAATAAAATGGTCATTCTTTTCCTCATATGGTCATGAGAAATGATTACTTTATATTGGCGAAGGGAAAAAACACCTTTTCTAGTCAGATTTGAGTCTCTTTTAATATAAAACTCCTTTAACGAACCCTCCAGTGTGTAATCATGTGAGACATGCTTCATGTATTTCAGATAAACTGGCTGTGGGAAACATTAGAATACACTGACAATAACCAGATCTTCTGCAAATTCTTGTATCTAGTTGAAGATGAGTTTATGCAGCTTCCTGTAGCTAAAGCAGGCCGTGACCTTCTGTGGTTAAAGCTCAGTTTGGAGCAGGAAGTGGATGTGCGATGACCTGTTCTTCATATCAAGAGTCTATAAGGGCAAGAGGTCAATGCCCGGTATGGACTTTAGACCATGCCAGCATCAGTACAAATTCTCTACTCCTCAAATGGCTGCTGCAAATTTGGAGCAGTTTGCCCCTGAAACTTGACTGTCAGGTTGGCAATTAATCAGTCAATTATATTTTATCCTTTTATTTTATTATGGGTTTTTAAATATTGTATCACAAGCTTTTCTTGCTCAACACATAAATCTGTTTTTTACAAATGCTTGGATAAAACGTCTGGCGAATACTAAATTAAGACATTTTTCTTTTGTGCAACCAACTCTGCTGAAATGTTTTTTTGCATGTGCACAGAAGAAGTAGTGGTGTTAAATTTTGTGCATTCGTCACTGGCACCCGGCATGCATACATTTAAGGAACCACATATTTGAAAGAACTCAGCGCATCAGTTCCTGACCACTACTTTGTCAACAGCTGGTTTAACAGAACCTAAGTGTAGCCCCAACACGGTGCACTGGTAGGTGATAACACATTGATTAAAAAGTAAATTAAAAACTCTGAGACTGTAGCGCTGTAGCTAGCTGGGTTTAGCACGTTGACTCCACATAACAATTGGGTTTAACACTGTTGCATAAGTACAATTTAAAATGTGTAGGAGGTGATAGGACGTTGTGGATCGGTGGGCAGAATACTTCGAAGACCTCCTCAATCCCACCGACACGTCTTCCAGTGAGGAAGCAGAGTCTGGGGACTTTGGGTTGACCTCTCAAATCTCTGGTGCTGAGGTCACTGAGGTGGTTAAAAAGCTCTGTGGCAAGGCTCCAGGGGTGGATGAGATCCGCCCGGAGTTCCTTAATGCTGTTGTGGGGCTGTGTTGGCTGACGCGGCTCTGCAATATCGCGTGGACATCTGGGGCAGTCCTACTGGACTGGCAGACCGGGGTGGTGGTCCCCTTATTTAAAAAGGGGGACTGCAGGGTGTGTTCCAACTACAGGGGGATCACACTCCTGAGCCTTCCTGGTAAGGTCTATTCAGGGGTTCTGGAGAGGAGGGTCCATCGGATTGTTGAACCTCAGATTCAGGAGGAGCAATGTGGCTTTTGTTCTGGTCTTGGAACACTGGACCAGTTCTATACCCTTAGGAGGATCCTGGAGGGTGCGTGGGAATTTGCCCAACCAGTTGACATGTGTTTTGTGGATTTGGAGAAGGCGTTTGACCGCGTCCCTCTGGGGGCCCTGTGGGGGGTACTCTGGGAGTATGGGGTACCAGGCCCTCTGATACGGGCTGTTAGGTCCCTGTATGACCGGTGTCAGAGCTTGGTCCACATTGCCGGCAGTAAGTCAGGCTCGTTCCCAGTGAGAGTTGGACTCCGCCAAGGCTGCCCTTTATCACTGATTCTGTTCATAACCTTTATGGACAGGATTTCTAGGTGCAGCCAAGGTGTGGAGGGCATCCGTTTTGGTGGCCTGAGGATAAGGTATCTGCTTTTGCAGATGATGTGGTCCTGTTGGCTTCATCAGAACGTGATCTTCAGCTTTCGCTGGAGCGGTTCGCAGCCGAGTGTGAAACAGCTGGGATGAGAATCAGCTCCTCTAAATCTGAGACCATGGTCTTGATTTGGAAAATGGTAGAATGTCTTCTCCGGGTCAAGGATGAGGTCCTGCCCCAAGTGGAGGAGTTTAAGTATCTCGGGGTCTTGTTCACGAGTGAGGGAAAACTGGAGCGTGAGATCGATAGGCGGATTGGTGCTGCATCTGCAGTGATGCGGGCGTTGTACCGGTCTGTCAAAGGTGAAGAGAGAGCTGAGTCAGAAGGCGAAGCTCTCAATTTACCGGTCGATCTACATTCCTACCCTCACCTATGGTCATGAGCTTTGGGTAGTGACTTAAAGAACGAGATCGCGGATACAAGCGGCCGAAATTAGCTTTCTCCGAAGAGAGGCTGGTCTCTCCCTTAGAGATAGGGCGAGAAGCTCAGTCATTCGGGAGGGCCTCGGAGTAGACCCGCTGCTCCTCCACATCGAGAGGAGCCAGTTGAGGTGGCTCGGGCATCTGGTCAGGATGCCTCCTGGACGCCTCCCTGGTGAGGTTTTCTGGGCACGTCCAACCGGGAGGAGACCTAAAGGTAGACGCAGGACACGGAGGAGGGACTATGTATCTCGCCTGGCCAGGGAATGCCTTGGGATTCCCCCGGAGGAGCTAGCCCAAGTGGCTGGGGAGAGGGAAGTTTGGGCCTCTTGCCTTAGGCTACTGCCCCCGCGACCCAACTCTGGATAAGCGGATGAAAATGGATGGATGGATCAATGGGTGTTGTTATTAAAATAATAAAGAAAAAGACTTAATGTGTGTTTCCCTGTTGCCAATACTAAATCAATTGTTTAATTTTCTTTTAATATAATTTACAAGCTTAATTTTTTAGCGGATTGTTTTATTTTGAAGGATTCTACAGGAAGTACTGATAGGTTGTATGCTCTTTAGGTTAATAACGGTTGTAGTAACAATTTGTGTCCACCAGAGGGCGGTAAAATCTATACTCAAAAACACAGATACTAGTTCTTGTGTTTCTATCTAGTTGACATATCAATATACATAAATTATAAATGGACATAAATAAAATAAAATGACTGATTGCAAGTTTATTATAAAACAGTAAGAAAAATAAAGAAGCATTTCTAGTCAATAATGTTTATTTTCAGTGTATTTCGTCTGTATTTTATTTTTTACTAGCTTTATATTTGACATGTTTAATTAGAAATCGCAAACTTATGCTGGTAAAATCTTGTAAACATTAATTTGATGTTACCTATTAATGACTTAATATAATACCTCTAAGCCCACAGTGGATATAAGTTACAGGAAGTGTTTGTACTAACTATCATGACTTTAAATGCACAGTTCCCTCTCCTTCTCACAAAAGACAAGAACAAAGATTAGGATTTTTCTACAGCTTCTCTGAAATAAGGAGGCTAAAATAAAAATATTTCCTAAATGGTTAACAGAACCAGAGTTACTTCTAGCTTTCGCCGCTGGAAGGCGTAAATTCCCCATTATCGCTCCTAGAAAGTCTGAATTTGCAGCACTGTAGCTAGGGGAGTGTGTGCAGTCGCACCACGCAGTGTAGCTCAGATAGATTCAAACATTTTTTTCAGCGGGAGAAACTGGAGATATGGCAAAGAAAGGGTGCATCATGTGTCTGAGACTTGGCAGCTCTGGGAATTCTATGTTTTTCAATTGATTAAGATATAAGATATAAATCAGGTTATTTGAGTCAAATTGCATCTTAGCATTAATATAATAATTAAAATGTACAAGAACTGTTTTCGTTCGAGAGAGAATAAAACTGATCAACTATTTTTCCAGCTGCTGGACATATGCAGTAGGCAATGACACAGGAGCGGTCCAGTGTGAGGCTTAAAAATAATCTCAGTATGTTGTGTAGAAATATTTATGCTGGCATGTTGTAATCTAGAAGAGTTAAATTGATTTTAATGTTTCAGAATGAATATCTATACCGTTTGGCACAGCTAAATAAGAGCAAATAGACATTAAGGAGGACAAAATACAGTTTGCATTCATCAGTAATAATTAATCAACATTACGCATTTTTCATCATGTCTTTAGAACTAGAATTGTTTGTTAAAAAAGAAAACTAAAAACAACTAAAGCGCGTCGATGAAGCTGCACCTTCGAGTCTCTACGCAGGGTTTACAAAACACATAAACCTGTGTATTGCGTCATTTAAACGCGACAGGCCTCTACGTATTTACTGCGGCCCTGGAAATGGGTGAGTCCTTGTTTAAGGCCGTGATAATAAAGTATTTGAGGAATAAATTTAGTCTGTAGAGACTTTTTAGGGTATATTTCTTTCGAATGCTGTTTTTGCTTGTAGCTGAATCCGTCTGAGCGGCTCGGTAAACTACCACTGCAGGTTAATGTTGCTAGCGGAGGCTGTATCTGCAGCGTCAGGTAAACGGCTAGCGCGCTGAAGCTCCACAACAACGAAAGCTCCGTTATTTAAACACCCCAGATCTGCTCAGACAGCAGTCATGACCTCCAGGCGAACAGCCTACACCACCGCTAGCATGGACCCATCTCCGGTCCACAGCGGAAACCGTAAACAGAGCATCATCAACAACCCCGACCGGACCGAAACCTGTTATGATCGCAAAGCGGCCACGCAGGGCAGCATGACGGTGATGTCGCTCAAATCCCGCCTGGCTCCGACCATTCAGACTGCCATGTCCGCTGCAGTGGACACCCTGGTCGGAGAAATGGTTCTGGTCCTTAACGAGACCCAGCTGGAGCTCCTACACAAGGAGCAAGAGAACCAAAGGCTCAAGGTTCGACTGGAGGTGTCTGAGCGGGAGCTGAAGACCCTGCAGGATTGCCTGTGTAGTGCTCAGAAGCTCATAGACCAGCTACAGGTCTCCTACACGGGCCCTCAGGCCATCAGCCAGTCCGTCTTCGCCCCTCATCTGTCCTCCATGGCTCCTCTGACTTCAGGATTAGACCGGGACCACCAGACCTCCAGGAGCGGAGCGAGTGTGGACTTGGGTCTCGGTGGCTCTGTGGATGAATCGATTCATGGTTTTGAACCAAGAGATGATTACAAAATGTGTCAGCTCTCGATCCAGCCGGATGGTTCTGTCACCAACCACGCTCTGGACTCGTTCGCCTCCAACACCTCCCATATGTGCTCCGATGCCAGCAGACCAGGTAACGTTCAACATTTCACTAAACATTGCTGCAAAGCCACGAGTAACCTAAATAGTTTTTCCAGTATTTTAATGTCACATTACACCTTCTGTGTGTTTTGTTTATGTTTTAGATGAGAGGCAGCCTCCTGGACCAGGTGGAACGCTCAGATTCGAGATCAAAGAAGAGCAAGGACCAGGTTCGGGTTCTGGTCAGCCTGGTGGGAAGGAACCTGGGTTGCATTCTGACAACCAAGTTGGAGATGGAGAAGGATCGTCTCTTAATGTGGGGGACATTGGTTATGGTCAAGTTGGAAGTGAAGGGGGCTCTCAGCGCTCTTTTTCCCACCCCCTTCGCCACCAGAGACCTTTGCGTGAATGTGGCAGTGGCTTGGAGCGGGGTGGACTTGATGGACAGAAACCTTTGCTCAGGACTTCCGTAGCAGGCAGAGGAGACGTTGTTTCACCCGGCAGAGCCGAGGACTCTGCAGGACCTTCAGCTCCTGACACATCGAGGGAGCCCTCTGCAGACCGGCCTCATCATTGCCTGGAGTGTGGGAAGACCTTCCGTCTGATCTCCAGCCTGAAGAAGCATATCCGCATCCACACCGGTGAGAAGCCCTACCCATGTGGTGTCTGCGGCCGGCGCTTCCGCGAGTCCGGAGCCCTCAAAACACATCTGCGCATCCACACTGGTGAGAAGCCATACTCTTGTTCAGAGTGTGGGAACTGCTTCCGCCACTTGGATGGTCTGCGTAAACATCGGCGCACACACACGGGGGAAAAGCCCTACGTGTGCGCCATCTGCGGGAAGCGCCTGAGCCGCCTGCAGCACCTCAAACACCACCAGCTCATCCACACCGGGGAGCGGCCGTGCTGCTGCCCATTCTGCAACCGCACCTTCAAGGAGCCTGCGGCGCTGCGGAAACACGTCCGTACACACCGTGAGGAGGGCGGTCACATGGGAATGGGCCCCAGTGATGACACAGACCCAGACGCCATGGACGACATTAACAATCTCCATCCGGCAGCTCCTTCTCCTCAGATGAGATTTGGGGAGTGGGGGGCTGAGGAGGAGGACGGCTCGGCTGTGGACTGTGTGTAGGGTGTGGTTAAAAATGGAGACTGTTGGTGTTTTTATATGAAACACTCTGGGTAACACGTAAGGTGGGCTTATTACCTAGGGCTGCATGTAAACTGGTTCAGTCAATATCTAAAACAAATATTTTGAACATTTACAAACGTCCTTCAGCCACAGGCTCTTCGAGCAGCAGCAGTCCATAGCTTCATTTTTATTTAAAAACAAGCCAAAGGGTCACTTAAACCCTCTCAAGCGCAACTTCAGCTGTTGCTATTGGAACGTAACTGAACTGTTATGTTTCTAGTCGTTGCTTTAAACCCACAGATGAGAGACAGAGATGTCATTCTGGTGAATTTCAGCACGTTGAAGACATTTAAAAGAGATTTGTTAAGTTTTACTCCAGCTACTGACTGCACCTTCTTTTAAATTGCTCTAAACATAAACTTCAGAACATTTGTGAACAACGTTACAGCCATCCCAGTGCTCTACAGTCCTCTCTAGTCCTGAATAATCCCCTTCATCTGCTTTTGTACCTAAAACTAGTTTTAGCTGTCGTATTTGGGTCAAGAAGGGATGTTGTAGTGGGAAATGTGCAGCATTGACTTAAACTTAATGCTATTTAAAGTGTAATCATGAACTTTGTCACATTTCTTCCTGCTCCTTTGATTGAGCACTGTTAGCTGTATGAGCTAAACTTTGCTGTTTTTCATTATTTAATGTAATAAATGAACCTCTGTGTAATTACCATATTTACATGAACTGGTGTTATTCGATGAAACGCTAAAATCATAAAAAGTCTTGATCTGTACGTTCAGAATTTGCTGAAGTTGTTGCGGCGACTCCTATTTATTTTTCTGTAGTTCCTCACGGGAAGGCCTCTGCATGCAGGCTAAACAAAGGAATTACTCTGATGCTGAAAACTTATGAGTTACTTTTTTATTTTTACATTTGTTCTTTGTAAAAAGTTTTTATATATGCATACATGTACCACATGACTATCCTGTTAGCTTCTGTAGATGTTACAAACATTAAAGGGCCTTGTTTTATTTATGTGTTTATTTTCATTCCTGAAGGAGTTTGTTGAAATAATCCCAGTTTAAACTACAGTTATTCCCTGAAGTTGATGCTTTTCAGCGCCCCGTGTGGTGGATACGGGATGTTGCAACTTAACAGTAACTTTACACAACCAAGCAGCAAAGAACACAGCATTTAGTAGAAATCTATCTAAATACTGTGTAGCAATAACTAATACTGTAGTACTTTAAGGGTACACATGAAGTATGCTTTTTCCGTTTACCTTGCAAGTATACTCATATCCAGTACTTACCCCTGTAAGTACCTTTTACCCATGTAAGTAGGTACCCTGTACATATCCCAGTACTTTCCCTACATCCTGGTTCTGGAGGATTGCTGCCCTGCGTGTTGTAGCTGTTCCGCTGCTCCAACACACCTGATCTAATAATTGAATCACCTCTTCAGCAGATCCCTGGGTTCTTCATGACCCACTGACTCAAACCAGGTGTGTTGATGCAGGAGAATGAAGAGAACATGGAAGTAGTAGCCCTCAATGACCAGGATTAAGTAGCCCTGTTCTGCACGAGTCTCTGTGAGTAATTGGTACCAGTACCCTACTGGGCTCTGTTGTGTATTTCTACCAAACATCAAAAGAAAAGTGACTAAAATACCAGCAGAAACAAGCTAACCTGAGCATTGCTACAGCGAATAAATCCCCATGATTCACTGCTTCATAAAGCCATGACTCAGATGTAGTTTTGATGTTTCCACAGCTGAGAATGTTGCTTTAGTGCTACTGAAGCTTAGTTATCTCCACGGTAAATGTTCCTGTGTACAGTTACGTCTAGATGAAAATACACCCCGCTTCTGGTACACATTCCAAGGAGCAAGTGGTAATGTTTATTCTGTTGAGTACTAATACTACACGACCCTGGAGAAGTCCTCCTTGAGGAGGAATAAAACTCTTAATTCTCCTTAGAGGAAAGTTTTTCTGTCGGGGCGAGCTGCTGCCGTCACCCAAACAAACATCCTTAATAACACACACCTGTCTTCTCCTGATGCTCAGTAATAGCAGCTGTGTTCACACACTCAAACTGCTGTTTCAGGCGGCCTGTTGTATCATTACAGATTACTTCAAACATGCAAACGAGTGCCAGGAGTTTATCCGCAGTAAGATTAGCATCGAGATAATTTTTTATTTTTAGTTGTTTAAAAAAGTTTTCTAAATAAAAGTAGACTACTTCTGAAAGGATGATTATATAAAACCAGGAAAAGCAGCACGTCTCAGATTTGTGATGGAGCTGTTAGACTCCTTTAGCTGTTGAGACACATTTTACTTCAACGCCCACAGTCCATCCTTGTGGTGGTGCTAAAGGACCGCTGGAGTCAGCCGGCCCTTTGGAGATGATACAATTTCATAATCAGACTGAAACTGAAAAGCAGACCTAATGTTTCTGGAATGCTATAAAAACATTCAAGTGGCTGCAGTGTTAGCAAGGAGAACAGAAGCTCGACAACAATAACGATGTTTTTTCCACACAAAGGCACCATCAGAGCCTGAGCCTCCTTATTGTGGAGGACATCTCTTAAATCTCAACTTTTATTCTTGCTTAAGCTCCGACCCGTGGGCCGTCCAGCATCTACCTTCAGATTTTAACACGATTGTTTGTCTTTTCTGTTTCTATCATTATCCTGTGGTGTGTTGAGTAACTTTAAGGCCTCAGTTTTCAAACAGGAAGTAATTAGTCTACTAACAAACACTCAGGGACGCCTCTTGTGTGACCTACAATGTGTTTACATTCTGTGTGTGTGTGTGTGTGTGTGTGTGTGTGTGTGTGTGTGTGTGTGTGTGTGTGTGTGTGTGTGCGCTGGCTGCTGCTGATGCGGCGACGGCGAGCAGCTTGGGCTGAGAAACGTGGCCCTGTGAGCTCTCGCTGGCCCATCCAGTCATTTCCTCAGCAACTGAAAATAAACTCTTTTTTTAGACAGGAAGTGACTAAATTTTCTCTTTGTTTCTTTTTTTTTTACTTCTCAGCCACATGACCCCACTCTGACACCCCTGTAAACTTTCCACTGGCATGCTTTCACATATTTAATACATACATGTGGTCAATCAGCATGCTGGCTTTTCCTGATTGAGACTCACAGCTGAGCAAATCACTCAGCTGACTCCTGCTGTGATGACAGCGTGGTGTCGCGTTCAATGTCTGACTTTTATATGTTTTATTTAAAGCACACGGCTGCAGGGATGGATGTGATTTAGTAAATATGTTAAACTCTAATTCGGTGCCGGTTGGATGTAAAAACAGCAGTTTTGTCATACAGATAAAAAGGGTTTACACGCAGAACACGGAGGAAGTTTGTGGTGTGTTGTTATGGCTCAAAGGCTCAAACAGTCCAGCTTCCTCTCTAAAACATTACAGAAAAACACACGTGGACTATAAACATTCAGAACTTATCACTCATATCTCAGTAGGAATGTTCTTTCGTGCACTTCCTGTGACCCCTTCCTCAGAGCCAGGTTTTCCACTCGTAGTTCAAAGACATGAAAATTGTTTAGACTTTAAAGCTGCATGGATATCTGCACCCGTTTATGATATACCCGACCTTACCGGTTTTATGGATAGACTGTGCTATCATCAGCATATGGGGTTAACTAATGTAAGTTTGCATGCATCACTAATAGGGCTGGGCAATAAATCGAAAATTTATCATTATCAAAATTTCTGGATCTTACAATATCGTTTTTTTCCTTGTCAATAAATTTGATAATACAAAAATTAAAATATGTGTGCAGGTTGGCGACATTCATGGCTCTTTTAGAAGCTGTACTATCTTTAGTCACGTGAAAACATCAACGAAATACACGTGATAGCCTCGTCTATTCTGTTTCGCATACATGTAGCCATCGTTCATTCATAGCTATTGAGGTTAAATCTTCAATATATCGGGATATTGATTTTAGGCATATCAACGCCCAGCCCTAATCACAAATAATGGGAGTTGCAATTATTTTGGTCCATTCTTCAAATTAATATTCTGTGTTCTCATGTGACATTGCAAGCCCTTGCCCAGACTGTTAGTGAAACAATGTGTTGTAAATAGCTTTCCGCTACCAATGTTTCACATGTTTAACTTTATCTGTGAAACTGAGTCAGTTGCAGCCATTTCTGTGTTTGTTAATGAGGTTGCAGATTTTACCACCTGTTAGTTGAGAGCCCATGTTGTGAATGACTTTCAGCTACCAAACATAGCACACTTTAGCTTTATGCCTGTTCAATTATTGCTGTTTGTGTGTTTGCCTTTGTGGTCTTGAATTAGGATTGAATTTACTGAGGATCACTACCAAAGCTAGAAATCAAGTAGGGACACGGTTTTTGCAGGAAACATATTTCGACATAACACCCATTGATGGGGAAATAACTGGGCTGAGCACAGAGCCTTGTGGAACTCCACGACTAACTTGGCTGTTAGAGGAAAACGCCACAATGACTCTGTACTATAATAACTTGTTAAATGTGATGAATGTGTTGCTGAGATCTCTTCATATCCACTGGTTTATTTTCAGCGTCAGTCACAGTGATGTTTCCGGTTATATGTGTTACAGGCCGGTGATGGCTTTCAGACTGACACACACAGCTGTGCAGCTGTGATCTGCAGAGGAGAGCAGGAGAGGAGGAGGAAACTGCTTGCCTGCAGTGAGTTTTCTCCTGAGAGGATTGGCTCACACCCCTGCACCTCTCCTCCCCCCTTTCTCTCCCAAACCCACCTACAGCCTCTCCAACTCCAAAGCAACAGGCAAGGAAAAGAAAAGAGATCCACTTTTTAAACCCCGAGGACCAGCAGAGGCATCCAAAAGATGGGAAACGTGGCGCTTTTGCAGACGGGTACCTCGGATAATCGAGGAAAGTGATTCTCTCCTCATTTTCTTTGAGGAGGAAACAGAAAAAAGCAGGACGCGCTTTTTAACCACCGCATGAAACGTCAAAAGTTTTCCCTCCGTTACCAAAGCAGGCGCCTCTGAGCCGGAGCTGTGATTTCATGTCCCCGGGTCTCTGCGGAGGGCAGTGAGGGATGCCAGGATGCCCTGTCTGATCTCCCATCTGCTGGTCATCTGGCTCAGCGTCCACAGGCTGGTCTGGTGCTCGGAGCGCGCCTCCGCTCGGGAGCGCTTCAAGGTGGTCATCGCGCCTCTCATCTGCAAGCGGATCTGCCTGAAGGGCCAGTGCCAGGATCGGTGCGAGCAGGGCAACAACACCACGCTGATCGCGGAGAACGGGCAGGGCGCCGACACGCTGATCGGACAGGGCTTCAGGGTCGGTGAGTGAGCCGGTGGCCCCAGAGCCGCGCTGTTCGGGCTTTGTTTGAGAGCAGGCTACCCGTCACGCTCTGTTGGCCCTTTTAACTCTTTAGTGTTGAGTTAAAGTTGGTTTATTACAAAGGAAGTTCACAATAGTCTGGGAAATGAATAATATTTATTTAGCACTTATCACAGAAAAATCACAAGAAAATGAAATTAAAAGACTGTAGAAACAGATAAACAACAAAGATTATAAGACAGATAACAAGGTCGTAGAAATGAAATTACACAAGATTTAAGCTAAAGTGATTTTTAATCACGGTGGACACAATACCATAATAAGTAAATGTAGAATTAACTTCGTATAGTAGATGAACTGAAGGTTTTCTGACGGATGATCAGATCTGACCTCATGCTCCCAGTCTGGTCCGGGTCCGGCCCAGTCCATCACAGGTCCGGTGACGGGAGATGAGTGAATGCATCATAGATGTGACACTAAAGTCATGAATAAACGATCAAAAGTTTAAAAAGTTTTGTTCTAAATATCAGAGGCCTGTGTATTTATAACTTGTGAATTTTATTTTTGGAGTTGAAGGTAGTCCTTTTAAAAAAATCTATTTTTTAAGGTTTGAGGTGTTTTGATTCTCATCATCCTAAAAAAAACCCCATAAAAACCTATTGTGGACAAATCAAATATCAATCCTAATGTGAATAATTACTTATTCACACATTAAATCCTGTGAAAATTATTCTAGTAAATAATTTTCTCTGAAATGTAATCATTTCATCTTTGTTCTGTTTGCAGACTTCAAAACTGAAACATTCCTTACTTTCTTACCGGGTTGAATGAGAAAAAGTTCTAATTCCTTGAATGTTTTAATTTGGATCATTTCGCTGATACTCAGAACAACTGTCCTGCTCTAGCTCTGCTCTCTGAGGTGGCTCAGATGAGGTGAGGTGGGTTTTTTCCCTCCACGTTGCACTTTAATTAGTGAGACACGGCTCATTACATGGCTTATAAATGTCCTCCTAAGATCTCTCCCCCCTCTGGTGTCTGGTTGACATAAAGTGGAGCCTTTTCTTTGTGCTGGTATCAGATCAGTTGTGGTGAAACGTGGAGCCTTGCAGTCTACGACCGGACCAAAGTAATAAAAGAAAAGATCCCACTGACTCTTTACTCTCACAGAGGAAAGAGTGAGACTCTAGAAAAGAAGAAAATCCATGAATCTGACTGTTTCCACTGAGACCACGTTGAGTCACCGCCCAGTTTTAGCCTGATTTCCACATAACGCATCACAATTTGGAGCTTCCATGGCCGACAACTCACAAGAGATGGATCAGATTCCCTGAATACCTCATGCTGCCTCACAATCGGTCTGGGTAAAGAAACCGCCGTGCAGTAACCTGTCTCTGGGATTTTACTGTCTGAAAAACGGGGTCCTGGCTGAGTTCAGCATAGAGATGGAGTGTGTGCTGTTCATTGAGGGAGCAGTAAGGCAGCGTGGAAGAGTGGAAATTTCTCTCTGGAGTGAGACTTTTCCATATTTTAGTGGCTGGGATGTCGGCATGGTGAAGCCGAGGCTCAGAATGAGGAAAACCCAACTGGACTTTTCATCACTTTGTGCAGTTGATCTTGTGCTTCATTGAGCGTGTTTGTTTAAATTCCAGTTTCACAAAAGGATTTAAAGAGTGGATGAAAGGACCAGGAAGGCTAACTCAGGCTCCTGCTTTGAGCAGCTGTAGGATATAACAGTACTGGCAGAAGTCTCTGCTTCCAGGAAAAGAATGCTTTGAATATTTTTGAAACGATAGAGAGAAAAAAAGTTTTATCCAGTTTATGTTTGATGTTATTCTTGTGTCAGATCAGTGGCTTCATGGAAGGAAATATAGTGTTTACTTGTTCTGTTTTTTAGGAAAAAAGCCATTCTGAAGTCGCTCCCACATAATCCAATGGTAGAGCCGTTTCTATTTCACATCTGATCCTGAAACTAACCCAAGATCACTTGGTGCCAGAATGAAAACAAACAAAAAACCATGAGGTTACAATAAAAAAAGCAACTGCTTACTTTTTAATTCTTGTTGCATTTGCAGTTCTAGGTGTGGGGTCATAGGGTATTGGCACCTGCTGAAATCTGATTGGCCCCCTGAAGTGCCCCTATCCTGTCATGTTGATCAGATTATAGGTGGAAGCAATTCCAAGTCCAAACACTAGTGGTGCTAATGAGATAAATAGGAATTTAAGAAGTGTTGGATGAATACGTTGCCCCTCTATAAATATTGTGGCCCCCTACTCAGAAAAATCCTAGATCCACCTCTGTCTTGTTGTTTTTACAGACGTAAAATAAAGATTCTCGTCTGACAGCTCGTCTCAACTGACCATGAGAGTCACCCGGAGCTAAATCAGGACGCTAGCTGCTAAAATGCTTTATAGAGCTGAGAGGAATGACAAACAGACCAGGATTAGCCGCCATGTGCTCACCAGATTTAGTGCATCTGAAACCCTATTTGACATATTTAACTTGATAATCTTCAACAGAATCAGCAACATGTCAGGTATCTGTGTGTATTCTGGGAATCACTTACTAAGACTGGGAAAAATGTCCGAAAATCCTTTTTACACGTGAGCAGGAAAACAAACATGATGTTTAGGACATTTTCCATGCTCTTCTCATGGTATTCATATAAGTCATCAAAGGGCTCTGCAGGGATGGGGGCAGAAACTCTGTAATCGTTCGTGTCAGCAGGAGGAGGAGTGCACCTTTTTCTCTTCTCATACACAACAGCATTCAGAGAGAAATGGGATTCATAAATCAGGGGAATGGGGATGCAGGCGAGTAACTGGAAGATTTTAAAGCACAAGAAAATCTTAGGGCGCTGATCTTACTGCGGGTTTTCAGCACTGGCTCAAAAACAGTAGGATCATCACTGGATTCATCTTCTGACTTTATAGAAACCAAGAGTTGGTGAAAATTAAGTGTTTTTCCAACAATAGCTTGGCTCAGGACTGTGTTCTTCTTGCCCGTTGCTATCACCTAGGCATCTTATTCATCAGCCTCACTGACAGCAGCTTTTGGCTCCCAGAAGGCTCGGTGAGCCCCGCCTCCTGTTTCAGGAGCATCTTCTCTTTGTCCAGGCTCCAGGTGTCCAAGCTGCTCTGGCCTCGGGTCTTTTACAGACCACAGGAAGTGGCGTTATCGTATCCCAGTCTGGACCGGTCCCCTCTTCAAATGGGCGCTGTGACAAGTAGTGGCTGCTCCGGGATTTCCCCCATGTGGGTTTTATCGTTTTCATACATGTGGAGTAAAGTGATAGTTGTAGGCCTTTGGTTTGCTTTGGTTTTCCTTGGCAGGGGTCAAAGGTCTATGGGAGCGGAGAAGTCAGATAAATACAGTAGATGCGGGGGCTGGTTCTGCTTTCTGTCTGCGTAGGGAGGTGAGTTTATTTTACCTTTCAAAGCTCTCGTCTCTTCCCCACACACACCAATGCCGAACTGTGGAGCAGGCGGTCTAACGCCAGCAACCAGAAACCTCTCATGCCAACCCCAACGAATAAGAATACAAGGATATTTGAGGGATTAACGCTCTAATGAGTCTTTCACATTTTCTTGCACACACCGAACGTCCATTCTGTTGCAGCTTTGTCCGTTTTTTTCTTTCGTGCGAGTTGCACCACAACACCCAGAGCTTAGATTCACTCAGCAGGAGCTTCCTGTGAAATTACACACTTGCGTGTCATCATATTCTTTAAATAAATTGTGCAGTGCAAGCTGGGAAACAAACATTATCACATGAAATTACGTTTGGAAAACAAAGCAGCAATTAGAAGAGTTTTTATTCTGTCATCACTAGTGAAACTGAATGTGTTTGCCTGTGAGTGAGTCTGAGACTTGTGCACTGAACCCAAGTCAAACAAACAGCCCTCTTTGCCATCTTTAACACTCCCCTCCCATTTGTGTAGCCAGGGGGAGGAGGGGGAAGAAATGCAGCAGTTATTTAAAGCCACTGAGAGGAATGCGAGCGCTTGGGACCGCTCTGACGGCGTGCAGGACCCTGTAGCTGCAGTGATTAGCTCAGGTAAACAGAAAAACGCAGGCAGAGACTCAACCCGGCCCCGAGCTCCTCTGCGGAGTGTCTCATGGGAGCAGGCACCTGACAATCTCTGCAGAGCACGGTCAGCACTCCTCTACCTGCCCGGCCTCTGGTCCCGGTGCCGAGGCTGTTAGGTAGTCATTATGTGACATCATCTGCATCGATGCCAAGATTCTGTTTGCTTCTCTTTCCTCATGCATCTCTGCCAGGAGAGGGGAAGAGGGGGCAGGGCCCAGCTGGATCTGTGCCCACCCTAGAGCTATTTTAAAGACATGGCATATTTCCATGAATGAAATCCCAGCGTGCAAGGCAGAGCTGGGTTTGGATTGGGATAATTGCAACCCTGAGTTACCCCATACCTGAAACAGATCTGCTGTTGTCTTGTTTCTTCTGATGTAGCACTTGTGAGAGTTGATGAACGCCTCAGGTGGTGTTTGGATAGCTGAAGCTGAGACCACTGGGGCTTCCTGGAGGCTGATGGAGCTGCTTAGGGGGAGGAGGAGGAGGAATGCGAGTTTGTGTTTGCAAAAGGCAGTGATTATGTCATTTACTGCAACGTGTGGCTCAGATCGAGGACTCAACTTCAGAGGTTGCTCCCGAGTTTGTGTGGTGTGTGGTCACGCACGGCCAAGTGATGGTAGGTGTATTTGGGAATGCGGTTTTCTGCTCCGGAGCTGGTGGCTGAGGGAAGCTCGTCATGTCAGGATAGACTTTCTTCTGCTCTCGTTGCAACAGCGTGGGATGTGTTCGCCCACTTTGGAAGCCACTTTTGTTCAAGTCATGGAAATAAAATAGAAAAACAACTGTAGTTATAACATTGTGATGAAGGATTGTATTACTTCATCCAGTAAGAGTGAAGCTGTTGGAGAAGCTTTGGGCAGCTTTTAGCAGCTTGTGGGTTGTTATTATGGTTTCTTATTGACCAAACTTTGACCCGCTTCAGTTATTATATTCAGAGCCAAAATCGCTGGAAATATGAGCAGCATTGAGGATTTTATATTCCCTAAAATAGATTTCTAATTTAAGACAATATTAAAATGAGGCTGGCCAGAGGTTTGGCACAACAACAAGGAGGTTTTTGAAAAATCATCCTTTTCCACACCTGTTCAAACATTGCTGCAAACTGCTGTTTGCTTGTTGTATTTTGTTTGTTTTTTCCTGGAAAAAAACTGGAAAAAGTTTCTTGATTTTTTTAAATTTGGGGTTATTTGAGGCCGTGAGCAAAGTAAAAACATCTAATCATCTAAGAACAGCAACACTTCTTTGTCTACTTCTACCAAAGAGAAATTAAAATCTCTTAAAGGCGTGGCCATGTTGGGTTTTTAAACCCAGAGATTACTGCTAAACATAAATCAGCAAAAATAAAAAAATCTAACTGCTCCACAGTTACTATTCTGGATAACATCCCAGTCATTTAAATAGTGGGGGCGGGGCTTCAAACAAATACTGCATCCAGCCACTAGGGGGTGCCTGTTTTGTTTCAGTTTCAGCTTCTGTGAAACTTCTGCATTTTTGTTTTCGGTCAATGGTTAAACATTTTTTTTTTAAAAGCACAGGTAAATGTTTTTTATATTATTCAGCTTATGATCATTTTGTTTACATTGTTGTGGTTTTATTTGACAACATTTAATTGTACTATTTGGACATTATCAAGCAATAAAAGGTTGCTGAAGTTGCTTTAACTAACTGAAATGCTAAATAGTTTACAGTCAAGGCTGCTGGATCTTTTCCATGTTTTTATTTAATTTGATGTGATGCTAGACTGAGTTTAAAGACTAGTATAATTGACTGTGTTGTAAATTGTATGTATTTTATTAAGAAATTAAACCCAGGTGGAGTTTAAGAAGAAAACGTATTTGACTGATATTTTTTGTTATAACTAAGAACGTGCATCACATAGATGGAATATTGCAGTAGTGGAAACTCAAATCCCACAGGAATCCCACAACAAGATTGATGTAATGATGAAACATTGACAAAGAGTCAGTACTTTTAGCCCTCTGGTTTGGTTCAGTCATGGATTGAATCATTGTGAAAGTGAAGCCTGATTTACACACTTACCTAAAGGATTATTAGGAACACCACAGTAGTACAGTGTTTTACCCCTTTCACCTTTAGAACTGCCTTAATTCTACGTGGCATTGATTCAACAAGGTGCTGAAAGCGTCCTTTAGAAATGTTGGCCCATGTTGATAGGATTGCGTCTTGCAGTTGATGGAGATTTGTGGGATACACATCCAGGGCACGAAGCTCCCATTCCATCACTTCCCAAAGATTGCTTTACAACTCTCCGCTGCCTGAACAGAAGTTTGAATGTGAAAACCTTTCCGACGCTCCGTGTGCATCTCTCTGTTGTGGAGCTCACTGAGAAGTATAAATCAGGCTTGACTGAGTTGGAAATGTTTTGGTGTGAGAATCTCCCAGAGAGAGAGGGACGTCTAAAGCGACCGTCTCATCCAGGGGTGGACTGGCCTATCTGGTATTCGGGCACTGTCCCGGTGGGCCGCTTACCCAGCTTGGGCCAACACAACCCCCCCCCAATTTCTGTCCCAGTCCACCCCTGGCCTCATCTGTTTGGTCGAAGTTGGATGCGTCTGCAGCAGCTTCTGCAAGCTGTGGTTTTCTGGGGCTATAATTTGTTGTTTTTCTGCTGGGAGGGTGCGGCTGTGGCTGGAAGGACAATGTGACGAGGGAGGGGGTTTTGATGCGTCATCTCCAGACAGACAGGAGGTGGGTGGGTGTGTTATCATAGGCCACTCTAAGGGCAACTTTCAGGCTTTTTATGTGTCTCATTTGTTTTATTTTTAATACATTTTTGCTTTTTTTAGCTTTAGAAAAAAAGATGTGTAAAGTTCAAGATCTTATGATGTGTTTGTTTTCCAAGTCAATAATACAAAATGAGAAAACTGTCGAGTCCGCCTCCATGCGCTCTCATGGACATACATGGTGTATTTTTAAGTGTCCTACTCAGCAGCTGGGGAATGTGTAGAATGCTTTTCTCTGAAAAAATACAAGTACTCACAATTATGCACATTTTTCCAGATTTCACATCCTTCCTAAATGCTTAACCCTCTCAGGCTCAAAATAAGTTTTGATAAAAGGACAAACAACTAAGTCCTTCAGGGGCACTTCTGAGTTAAAAAATGCTCATGAAATGCGTATGTGGAGTAACCAGGTAGGTTTTAACGTTGCAAATCTGCAACGCCTGCCTCCATAGGGTTGACCATGCTTTTACTTTGTCCTACAAAAATGTTTCCTTTCCTTTTTAATGCTGTGAGCAGATCCGGCCTTAGAAGAAACTGTTCTCATAATGTCATGAGAAACCCTGCCGATAAGACTGAGAACAAACAGACTCCCTTCATTCTGTCTCTTTATCCGAGTCACTTCTATGGGAAATCCAAGGCCCGGATCACACCTGCAGGTTGGAATTCAGTAAATGAGGTCTGACAGAAAAAACATGATCACTGAGTTAGCCTAGCCTAACTGAATCATAGTTAGATAAATAGCTTTGGCTGGTAATCAAATGGTTCATTGCAGCAGAGAAAAGTTAGTTTGTCCAACATGTTTCAGGAGAGAAAGGAGAGAAAAGGTGAAACAGCTCTTGTGGGGGTACAATGTGGGTAGGTCATCATCATCTGAATATTAACGACTCTGTAGTGCTCTGACTTTGAAAATTGCTATACTGATACAAGCCATTGCCATTCAATATAGTATCTGGTTAGTACAGGTTAGTATCTAGATAGTAATGGTTAGTAAAAGTTACTGTTGCCCACTAATATAAGTTAGAATCTGGTTAGTACAATTTAGTATGCAGTTAGCACACATTTGTATCTAGTTGTATATGTTAATACAAGATGCTTTATAGTTAGTTCAATTTAGTATCTGGTTATTACAATTTAGTGTCTGGTTAATGCAAGTTGGTGTCTGGTTAGTACACATTAGTATCTTGTTAGTACACATTAGTATCTGGTTTAAACAAGTTAGTATCTAGTGTGTACAGTTAGAGTCTGATTATTACAAGTTAGTATCTAGTTAGTATAAATGTTAATGTCTGTGAGCACAAGTTTGTATCTAGTTATAACAAGTAAATAATTTAATGCAAGTTATTTTCTAGTTATTTCAAGTTAGTATCTGGTTAATACAAGTTAGTGTATGGTAAGTATAAGTTAGTATTTGGTTAGTACAAGTTAGTAACTAGCTAGCACAGTTTGTATTTAGTTATTACAAGTTATTATCTGGTTAGGACAAGTTAGTATCTACTTAGTAAAAGTTTGTATCTAGTTATTACAAGTTACTGTTGCCCACAGATTAAGTTAGTATTTTGGTTTATACAAGGTAGTATCTGGTTACTACAAGTTAAAATCTGATTAATAAATAACAATGTCTGGTTAAACAGGTTAGTATCTGGACAGTACAAGCCCCTATTGCCCACTGGTTAGTATCTGGTGTTTATGAGGACTTTCTTGTCTAAATCCTTTCCCTTGAGCTCTTCTAACACATTTAAATTCTGGAATTTTCCCATCATCCTCTTCTTCATCTCTTGAGTAAAACGTGGAAAACAATGTTGATGAATACCTAACCGCTTCACATCCACTCCTCTCTTTATGCCTGACACTTGTTTAGACCACCTAATAACTCAAAGGCACGTTTGATTTTTTTAATAACACACCACCTCTAGACAGAGGAATGTGTCAGATTTAAAAGGTGTGGCACAAAAACAGAGACCCTAACTGAGGAGAGTCTCTGAGGGATTAGAGGATAATAAATGCCACAAAAAAAAAACCTTCAAGGTGATGGTTTCATGGGAGAGGGTGTAAAATACTTCTGATCTCAGCGTTTGAGCTTTCTGCTCTTTTCAGTATATAATGTGGCGCAGTCAGCTAACCGCAGCGGCTCTCCAGGAGACGATACACCCTGCAGTTAATAGCACATGCAGACAAACCCGCCCACTCGCAGAAAGGATCTGCCAAAAACATTAGCCTGCGCTCAGCCAGTGTGACTCAGGCTCAAATAACCGGAGTAGAAGTGAGGGTGAGGACTCACCGTAGGTGAGGATGGCGTTGCTATTACTCAGTTCTCCTGCAGCTCTGAAGACACAGTGACAGTACTTTATTTCAGAAGGATGTATAACACATCCTTTTATGATTAAGGATTTTCTGTCTTTAAATGGAAACATTAACTTAATTATTGAGGTAAAATGTAAGAAATGTATAAGAAAAAAGCGGCTATGACATCACATCAGCTCTATGTTAGTGATTTTATTCTGAAAGTTCTGACAGAAAGTGAAGTTGCTGTTGCTTTAGAGCTTTTCTATTATCGTTGTTGCTAAGTAGAAGTTCTCGGCCTGCCGTGTTGACTTTTACTGAAGCTTCGTTAAATGAATTTTCATCCATTTATTTATCAGACCCTTAATTGTTTTACAGCTTTTATTTGGTTCTTGTTGACTGGTAAATAGCTGAAATTAGCAAGGATTACAGGAGCTGCATCTCTGACCAGTAGATCATTGTGCAACATTGGTCTATTTCCCCCTTCACCAAGCCCACGCTGCCTCCACCCAGACAATTCTGCTCCAGAGTATGAAACTTGATTCTTGTCCTTTCTGTGTTCATTAGTTTAACAGAAGCTACGTCAGAGTCT